CTAAAGTATGTTTCTGGGTCTACAGCTCTAACACCCTGAGTTTCCCCCATCTTGTCTAAAGTATCCCTGTGAGGTTTCTAGCCTCTAGAGAAAGCTTGGGACCCTCTTTTGGGGTTACTGGTCTAGATACAACTACAATGAAGATGTTATCTAGCCATGGGAAGCCTAGCTGCTGAGCTCATTTATTTGTTGTTTGATCCAACATTTCTCTAACTTACATCTTTCCTGGGACATTAAGTATTCAGATGGGATCATCTTAGATGCGCTTTAATCAGTCACATCAGGCCACTTCTTCAGCTGGGTCTCAAATTCTGATGTACGTTTATCCCAGTCCCTTTCCCTCTGTAAGCACACATGCTAGTTTTCATTTGAACTCTGGATATATTAATATTTTCCTTTCTACACTGTTCCACCTGAGCTCAAATGTATTTATAAATAGATCAGTGTTGCCAAGACCTGCTCTTGGGAATTTTCTGGTAAAGAAGAAAAAAGACTGTTGTAACATGAAAAGTAATTGACCCAGAGACTGATACCGGGGTTCAAACTTCAAGCTGAAGATCAGAAAAGCAAAGCAGCTGGCCACTAGCTTCTTAACTCTACCCCAGGCTGAATGGGCTGATCCTGTCTCCACCAGCTCTCACCAAGCCTCAGACTATAACCACTCCTCAGCGTGGCTGGAGAATGAATGCCTCTACTGAATCCTGATACTGACTTATATACCTCTCATGAGTCCTGGGATTAAAGAGGTGGGCTATAATTCTCTTTTAGACTGATTCAATCTTGTGTAGGTCTGGGTGACCTTGAACTCACAGAGATCCATCTACCTCTTAATCCTGAGTCCTAGGATTAAAGGTGTGTATCACCACTGCCTGATCTCTATAGCTTGAGGGTGGTGGCTTTGCTTTTCTGAATTATCAGTCAAGCTTTAATAAATCATGAATAGTATATTACTATAGACTATCTCCTTTTCTCTCATATCAGGGCTCTGTGAGTGACATCTTCATGTATGGGTGGTTCCGAGCCCTACTGCAGCTTTTCTGCAGGCCTGGGTTTGGTTTAGTGAGGGTGATGAGGGACCAGTTAACACTCAGCTCATGAATGAATTGTCAGCTAATCAAAGGTGGCTCTTGGCACAGTTTGTTCTGTTGGTTGCTGTATAGAGGGACTCGGCACAGTAGGGTTGTGCAGTCTTTGGGGTTATCAGCAGACACCAACTCAAGGATAGTTGAATCTAAGGCACAGTTCAGGTAATATTGCACAAAATCTGCACACTTTCTGAGTGATAGACACTTAAAAGACACATTTGAGTTTAAATTAGCTTGTATGATTTCAAAATAGTCATGGAGTGCTTGGGTAGACTCACTGAGTTGATATTTACTGAGAGTCTACAAAATACATAATTTTGGGTTTTTATGCATTTATTCATTGTGCAGTTTTCTAAACATAAATATGTAGTGACTTTATAGTCATATAATGTACATACCATACAATTCACTCATTTAAAGTGCAGATTTCAGTGGTTTTTACATTGACAAAGTAATGCAGTCACCACCTCATTAAATTTTAAAACATTTTCATCACTCCACAATGAGACCTTGCTCATTTTAGCTTCCCTCTCCCTTCCAACACCCCTCCAGCTTCCAGGTCCTGGCAATCAATGACCTACTTCTATATCTTTGGATTTGTCTATTTTGGGCATTGCCTCTAAATGGAATCACATGTGGTCTTTGTGACGTGACTGCCTATTCTCAGTGCACTATTTCCCTGGCTTTCCATATTATACTGTATACCAATACCTCATTCCTTTTAAAGCTGAGTTGTACTCTATTGTGTGGATGCTACATTTTGTTTTCCGTTTGTCCATTGATAGGTTTTCACTTAGTGCAGTTTCCATTTTTGACTGTTATAATGAACCTGCTGTGAGTGTTCACATGCAGTTGTTGTGCAGACATGGGTTGATAGACAACTAGAGTGCAGTTGTTCAGCTAAACCTTAAAGGAGCTGCCATGCAGTCTTCAAACCCAGTTCTACCACTTTCCATTCTCGCCAGCAGTGTGTGAGGGGTCCAGCTTCCCACACTTGGCTAACATTTATGACTGTATCTTTTTGATTTTTAAATACTGTTGTTTTCAAACAACATACTATACTGTGGATTCCTTTAAAATTAATATAGGGGCAGAGTCAACAGCATCTTATTCCTCCTCGGCACTATGTTGTCCTCTTTGGCATCCCATTCCTCCATTGTTTGAAATCAGACAGACACAGATTTAAAGGCTGTCTTTGTCACTGTCCAGATCTTTGCTGTTGGGTTGAAGCATATCTTTGGATTTGTCTATTTTGGGCATTGCCTCTAAATGGAATCACATGTGGTCTTTGTGACGTGACTGCCTATTCTCAGTGCACTATTTCCCTGGCTTTCCATATTATACTGTATACCAATACCTCATTCCTTTTAAAGCTGAGTTGTACTCTATTGTGTGGATGCTACATTTTGTTTTCCGTTTGTCCATTGATAGGTTTTCACTTAGTGCAGTTTCCATTTTTGACTGTTATAATGAACCTGCTGTGAGTGTTCACATGCAGTTGTTGTGCAGACATGGGTTGATAGACAACTAGAGTGCAGTTGTTCAGCTAAACCTTAAAGGAGCTGCCATGCAGTCTTCAAACCCAGTTCTACCACTTTCCATTCTCGCCAGCAGTGTGTGAGGGGTCCAGCTTCCCACACTTGGCTAACATTTATGACTGTATCTTTTTGATTTTTAAATACTGTTGTTTTCAAACAACATACTATACTGTGGATTCCTTTAAAATTAATATAGGGGCAGAGTCAAGCATAGTCTTTCTCTCTCTCTCTCTCACATGCAACACACTCACACACTCACATAACACATGAACTCTCTCTCTCTCTCTCTCCCTCTCTCTCTCTCTCTCTCTCTCTC